GACGAGCACAGAGGGGCAGCACGGGCTCAGGTGTACCCCCAGGTCAGACCTGGGCGGCGGGATAACACGACCCCCGAGCTCACACGCGTCCGCCCGCACCCGGCCCCGCGCGGACTCCGTCGCCGTTGTGACGCGGACCCCTCCGCCGGCGCGGGCGCCCCGCCGCACCTTGATCCGGTTGAGCACGCCGCTGTTTTCCAGCGTCTGCACTAGCAGGTCCCGAAGCTCCGTGTCCTCCTCAGCCACCACAGCCGTCGCCGTGGCCGCCATATTGCTTCTCCAAGACAACCGCCAAACTGCGCCAACGGCCAACGGTCGCTGCGGATTCCACGACGCCGTGGGGCGGGGCGACGTGGGGGGCGTGGCTCGGCGTGCGGTCGCCGCAACGCGGGAGGTGGGGCCTCGAAGTCCAGGGGCGATGTGGTAGGCGGGGCTCGGCGTGAGGAAACGGCGAAGCCGGGGGCGGAGCCTGGACGCCACAGACTCCGTGGTAGGCGGGACTCAGCTTGTGGACACCGTCACGCACCGCGCGGGGGTCTCGAAATCATGGGGCGGGGCGACGGCCCTGAGAAAATCGCAGTACACAGGAGTGCATCCTCGCGGGGCGGGGCAACGGCGGGCAGTTATTATTGTTAAGTGCCGTCGACTCGGAGCGACCCCATATAGGGTTTCCGAGGATCGGTTGGTGACTTTGAACCGCCGATCTTGCGGTCTATCCATTATCCCACAGCCCCACACACCAGGACTCCTGCCAAAGACGCCACTCAGTGGGCGGAGCCACGCTGTCTGAGACCAATGTCCTTGGCGGGTCTGCAGGCGTGAGGGGCGGGGCCTCGATTCTTAAGGGTTACGGCAAGCGGATTGTTCTGAGTTTAAGAAGCGATGCCTCAGCGTGCAGAAATCCCTACGCAGGGGGCGGAGCTCTATGACAAGCCGAGACGTTTTGGGCGGGACCGCAGGAGCTAGGAAAGCGAGATGTGGTGGGCGTGGCCTCGATGCCGCTTAGCAACTTAGTGGGCGGGGCTTGAGCATCTTGGATGTGGGACACCTGAATCTTCAGGGCTTCAATGCTGCCCAGCAACGTTGTGGGCGGGGCTCGAGCCTCTTGGATGTTGGACACCTGAATCTCTAGGGCAACAATGCTGCCTAGCAACGTGGTGGGCGGGGCTTGTGCTTGCGGAAAGTGCAGCACCACTGTGTGGTCTCCTGTACGACATCCGGTTTGCAAAGCGTGAAGTCTTAGAAGGGGCAGGGATTCGGCTCATGGGGCGAGGCTTCGGGAACATGCTGGGTGTGCCTGTTCTCAGAATTTTGCAGAATTAAATGGGATAATTCGTTGGAACTCACTTCTGTTTCCTGATCATTATTATTGAATGCCTTGGAGTCTCCCCCAACTCATAGCGCCCCTGCCTAGAGAGTCTGAGGAGTGGCTGGTGGGTTTGAATCCCCGACATCGCAGTTATCAGTCCAGTGCTTATCGTACAGAGACACGCCAGAATTCCCTATTTCTGGATATCTGGTAAGAATTCATAAAGGCAGCTATTGAGGTTGGACTGTAGGATGACTATTATTTAGTAAGATATAAAAGAAGGTATATGTGTGTTTCTAAGGCTAAGGGCCAACACGAGTGAAAGGGAAGGGACTAGAAAATAATGTTCATTTTATTATCTAATCAGATGAGCCTTAGGGTCCATGAGAGAAAGGGTGACAATGGGTGAGGGAAAGAGAAGAGTCAATGAACATGTTGACTTTCATACCATCCACACATTTGTCAGCTTGTTGTACTTTGGTGGCTTGCGAGTGTTACTATGATGCTGAAACGTATACCACTGATATTTTAAATATCAGAAGGGTGACCCTTGATGAACAGGTTTCAGCTGAGCTTCCAGACTAAGACAGACTAGGAAGAAGGAGAGACAGACTACTTCTGAATATTTGTTGTTAAGTGCCGTCGAGTTGGGTCTGACTTATAGTCACCCTGTATAGGGTTTCTGAGGAGCAGCTGGTGAGCTTGAACCACCAACCTTGCATTACAAACCGACCTTGCAGTACAAAACCTTATGAATAGCAGTAGAACACTATCAGCACCAGAATATTGAATACTGACACATGATGAAGAATAACAGAATAGTGTTAGATATAGAGCTGGAAGATGAGCCCCTCAGGTTGGAAGGCACTCAGAATACAACTAGAGAAGAGCTGCTTCTTCAAAGTAGAGTTGACTGTGATGACACGAATGAAGTAAAGCCTTTGGGACCTTCATTTGCTCATGGGGCACAACTCAAAGTGAAGAGAAAAAGCTGTGAACATCCATTAATAATCAGAACATGGAATGTTAATATTAAAATATTAATCTAGGAAAATTAGAAATTGCCAAAAATAAAATGGAGCACAAAAACATTGATAGTGAGCTGAAATGGACCGGCATTGGCCGTTTTGAATCTGACAGTCATATGGTTTACTACGCCAGGAATGACAAATTGAAGAGGAATGGCCACACATTCATCATCAAAAAGAATATTTTTAGTCTGTCTTGAAGTTCAATGCTGTCTGTGATAGGATGCTATCCATACACCTCCAATGAAGACCAGTTAATACTACTATTCTTCAAATTTTCACACCAACCACTGAAGCCAGTGATGATGAAATTGAAGAATAGTATTGATTTTTAAGTCTGAAATTGATCAAACATACAATCAAGATTTATTGATAACTTACTGGCAGCTGGAATGCAAATGTTGGAAACAAAGAGGAAGGATCAGTAGTTGGAAAATAGGGCCTTGGTGATAGAAATGATGCTGGAGATCACATGATAGAATTTTGTAAGATATTGCTGACGTCAGATGGATCTTGGCTGAAAACAGAGACTAAGAAACCAGAATGGTGAGACTTTTTTTCTCATACTTCAGACATATCAGGAGGGGTCAGTTCCTGAAGAAGGACATCCTGCTTGGTAAAATCATCAGCAAAAAAGAGGAAAACCCTTATTGAGATGTTTTGACGCTGTGGCAGCAACAAAAGATTCTAGAGTAACAATGATTGTGAGGACGGCACTGGACCAGGCAATGTTTCATTGTGCTGTGCGTGGGGTCACTGTGAGTCTGAACTGACTCCACAGCACCGAACAACACCCTCCTTGGAAGATTGTCACGGTTGACACAGTGGGACCTGAAGCAACTCCATGTGTTAGAGTAGAACTCCTTAGGGTATTTTTTGCTGTGATCTTTACAGAACCTACACTAGACCTTTTTCCCCCTGTGCCACTGGTGGGTTCAAACCGTCCACCTGGGTTAGAAGTCAGTGCAAACTGTAACACCCAGAGCCAGGTGAAGGGTCAGTGAAAATGAGGGCAGGCCTCTGTGAGATGGACTGATCTAACAAGCACAATAGCTGAATCAGCGTGACCCCTAGGACCAGCCAAGCTTCTTCTCTGTGAGCCACAATACCCTCATGAGTTGGGGCCAACTAGACAGCACAAAATACCAGCAACAAAAATCCAGGAAGGGCAAAGAGAGAAAGAAGGGGTTGGTGAAAACATGTCAGGAGGCCGGGAAGCTTGGAGAGCAAGATGAGGGAGTACTAGTGAGTATCAGAAGGCGCTGGAGCCCACGCGGGAAGTGATGCACTGTGCTGAGTTAGACGTGTCTGGAGGAAATCGGGGTTTGGATTTCCAAAAGACAGTTTGAAATCTATATGTTCAAAACTATATATGTGTGTATATGTATATATATATATATGTTGTTGTTAAGTGCCGTCGAGTCAGTTCCGACCCATAG